CAACATTACCTTGAAAAATACCCATGCGCGATACGCGCCGAAACAACGGTAGTGGTCCATCTTCCTGTAGATTCACTTGCGCTATGGATAATTAAACCGCGCATATCATGCCTCGTTCGCCCCTTCCATCGATCGATCCCAGTTCGGGTGAACAAACAGTCAAACACGAGGATGCATTCTCTTCAAAACGGTTCAGTACAAGACTTGAACCATAAAGGAAGAAAGTAGATGGAACGCAGATAGAATTAAGTATCGACAACGAAGCCGTTCAAGATTTGCCGAAGATACTGTAAGAACGACGGAGCGATATGCTGGTGCTCTCAGTGAAGAACAAAATAAAATGTCTACTCATCAAGATGGGGAAAACTACCCACACGAACAATGATTTATAAAAAAAGACTTTTTACTGGCGTTTACACCCTGCGCTAGATTTACACCCTGCCCTGGAAGGCGGAACAAGGCAAATGGCAGCCGCAACGCATACTATTAGAAAATATGGTTGTGCATCTCGCACGCAATGGCATGAACCACATCAAAAACGCCATGCTCTCCCCATTATTCCTTGCTATCCGTTTTTCAGTGGGTTACCGAAGCGCGGTAGGGTGAATTCCTTCCTCAAGAAAATTAGCAGCTCATAAAAGAATATTTGTGCTGCGCCCTGCGTTTGAACCTGACACTCTAAAGTGAAAAGTAATCTACTAACCCTTGCGAGAATACTCCCCTTCCCCCGCCAATTCCAAGCAAAGAGGCCGCAAAATTCATCGGCAAAGAATTAAGTGAAAATGTTAGCAGCTAAGTATGCCCAGGTCAGGAGATCCGAATGTAGCACGAAATGAGGTACTAACTTAAAAGAAACAGAACCGGCTTAAATAACGTGATCTTAGGATAGCTAGATGGAACATTATAGAGTCAATTCTTCAACGCCATCGCAATGCCCGCAACGCAACACGAAAGTGAAACGTGGTCAACCGAAATCAAAAACAGCTTGATGTCACACAGTGAACCTTAGAAAAAGGATGAACCGTGGCGGATCACCATGAGACTGAATAATAAAAATTGAACGGGTCCGGGTGTGTCAGATGCCCCGATGGAACGACGCTATTTTATAGTGGTACGGTGCGTAACAGGTTGGTTCCGAACTCCGAAGGTGGCGGGTCGATTCCGGCGGACAACAATCTTTGTCGTAACCACAAATTTCCTGAAGCAAGGTATTTGCTACACGTTGCTTCAGATCGCGGTTGATCAGTCGGCAGAGCGTCAAAGCATAACAGAAAAGTCCCGGATTCGAGCCCCGGTCGGGAGTCACTCGCCTTTCATCCTTCCGAGGTTAATAAATCAATACCACTTTCTGGGAAGGAAACAGAAGCCTACACACTATGGCTGCCACAAAGCTATAGACTCTGCAATTAAAGATAAGGCACTCATTGCTGATGGCGCAGAAACAGAAATTAGCATCGGTATCCTAACCACTAACTTCGTGAAAATAACGGCACCAGAACGATCCCAGTATGAAAGTGAAACGAAGACTGATATTCCAACGACTGCAAAATTACTTTTCCTTCCTTCCAAGAAAGAGCATGCTGAAATTATCCGGACACGTTGCATACCGAAGTGCAACAGCTGAACGTTCGTCACAACCGAATGACATCCATAGGATATGAAACACACCAGACGTCGACCGCCAATGATGTTGGAAGATCGAACGTATAGTGAAAGATCTCGGTACCAAGTAGATACGAAAAACACTCACAAAAGGAGGCAGCTCAGCCATTGTGATATGCGCTGTCCCTGAAACGACTGAACAACTGATCGACAACGGTGATGCTGTGCTTCAGTATGAGTACAACGAGGAACAAGATATTCTGTCTTTGTGTTGATGTGTCGAAGCGACTTTGTGGAGCTGCGACAATCACCTTACGAGATTTCTTAGGGGAAACGACACTGCACCGGAGAACTTTATTTTGCTGCAAGCATTCTGACCTTACAAAATTGTTCTTCGACCGTTTACTTATGGCCATAATTATTCGACTGTTCGTAAGCAGAACCTTGCGCCCTCATCTGGTGGACATCACAGCGACCAAATCTTTGGATCGCACGGATAATGCAGCGAAGTGCGGAATTCTCGCAAATCAAATTACCACCGTGGAGAGCCGTCATGACCTTGGAAACGCCACTGAGCTCAGATATGCGCCTCAGACTGATATCCTGGATGACCAAGTTCCTTAACTGGGCACCCAGGAAATTCAAACAAGCGTCATAATCAAGTGCTTGTTGCAGAAGAACAGCTAAAACTTGTCATGGATAAGCCGTGTTATTTCGTCGGATATGAAAGACATGCTGCAGTAACATCATCAGCATGTGCGCCTAAGCGATGGGGACTGTTGCACAAATGGAATGAAAGTCCTCTAGCGAGTGCGTTAGAAAGGTGTCTGTGTTTATGGTAGACGGGTGTTAGACCTGACTCGTTGGGCCTACGAGTTTTTATGACGGTCGATCACACGGCACAAAGGGGAAACAGGACGACTTTTACCCCTAGTCTGCATGGAAATGAGCATGGAACATAACAGTTGATCTAACACCACAGCTGCAAAGATGGAGTCGCCTGGATCGTACAGTGTCGCCGATAGCAGGAAATTGAATACACTCGATTAAGGAAGTCGTGCCCTTAATACTGAGCATATATATATGCCCGAAGCTGAATAACGGCAAAGCCGCGAATTGCTCATTACAGCAGTTGTTGTTTAATAGCGGATGAATTTCTTGTGGATAACTGTGGTAATTCTAGAGCTAATACGTGCATTACTGCTTCGACTTCGGTCGGAGCGCAGCTATTAGAACAAAGCTGAACAGAACCTTCTCGTGAGGTCTGCTATTTGATGAATCTGAATAACGTTGTAGATCGCATGGTCAAGTACCGGCGACATGTCTTATAAATGCCTGCCTTATCAACTTTGGTTGGTAGGATATACGCCTACCATGGTGATAACGGGTAACGGAGGATCAGGGTTCGACTCCGGAGAGGGAGGTTCAGGGTTCGACTCCGGAGAGGGAGCCTGAGAAACGGCTGCCACATCCAAGGAAGGCAGCAGGCACACAAATTACCCAATTTCGGAATGAAGAGGTAGTGATAAATATGTATATATATATATTTCCCCAGCAACCGAAAACTGTCATCTTCAACAATTTAAAGAAGGCCCGTGGGATATGAGCGGAAGCGTCGACACTGGTCTATCGACTAGTAGAACTTTATACTGTGTTGCGCATAATAAAATCGTTCTTATGCAGCTTTCCCACTATGACTGCAACGCACGAACAATACTTTATTTCCTTGATTCATTTCTTAGCTTACGTAAAATTATACATACTATCATTTATTTGGTTATATAAATTCAGCAGAGAATAGTCTCATCACAATTCGCGAATAAAAATTGTACAGGTTGTGAAAAGCACTGTCAAACGTTAACACACAATGCAAACATATCTGTACCCTTTCCGCTGCCTGAAGGCAAGAATTTGACGGACTATCGACAGACGCTAAGAACTAGAAAAATGAAATTCCGACTAAAACTGAAGCCGTCTAGTATTTCATTTTGTACTGCAAGAATGAAACTCCTGCAAGTCAAACTCCTTCTTCTATCCTAAAACCACTGATTTTATGCAGCCAAAAAACTCCTCTTACCATATTATCAATCAACCCATATAAACTACAGTCAGTACTCAGAAAATCATAGAACGGATGACGACTCCTTATGGCTGAAAACAGCGGTTCTGCAACAAACTTTTTCTAACAGTAAGAAACAGGAGCAAGAATCAAGAAAACCTCGTTGCAGTTCTCACTTGCCGGTAAAAACTACAGCAGCAAAGCCGAATATTTCACAGATTTCATATCAGAACACCGGCGTAATTCAAACTTTGCTCCGTTTACGTCGCTGAGATGCTGAATGCTGTCATGAAAAGCAAAACGT